GACGAGCGTCGTCGTTTGTTTGTAGCACTGGGTTGAGTCGTGCAAATATAGAACGTTAAGATTCCACTACAGACGGCAGACTACGAGAGAAGAGGCGGAGAGGGAAACAACACGCAAAAATTTTCTTGTTTTCACCACAGTTCAAGTCAGTTTTGCATGTGATCTTATCTTTAGAACAATGGACAAATTCTTCCATACTTGAAGGAAGCAATTACGTACAAGTCGATTCGCGTACAAGTTGATTCGCCTACAACTTTACTCCTTGTTCCATCATCGTAGCTCGGGTGAAATTGGTAAACAAAGTTTTGGTTGCACAGATTTTATTTTTTTCGCCAATGAATACTTATGTAAAATATTAAAGACTGGAAATAGACAGAAATAGTAATAGCTCATTTATTAGATTTAGAAGATGGACTTCTCCGACTACTGATCTGATGTAGTTTGAAGTATTGAAATGCCCAGTTTCGATTGTCTCGAAGATGTTTACATCATTTTCATTCAGCAAATGCGATACAAAAACTCGCATAAGCAAAGGTCACACAAGTAAAAAGACACACTAATCAGTTCGAACAAACATTGAAACTTTTCAAGTGTGAAGAGAAAGTAAATTACCTGCATGATTTCTCTTCTCCTCGGCCATCAATCGGAATTCTGCGTATAAACAGCTAAGCTTCTTTAAATATGAGCTTAGCTAGATAAAAATGTAGTCACAACGGTGGATTAAAAGCGTAAATCTGAGCAGAAATTAGACACAACTTACATATTTCGCTCCCCTCTCACTTAAAGCAGGCAAATTCAACCTTTTTTATGAAAAGACGAGATTCTTGAATTACCGAGACGGCAAAATACGAGCAAAATGTTCTCCGTAGTCCGGACTACGCGAAACAGCTTAAGAACTCACCGTAGCCGCAGGACTACGCGGGAAAAATGAACAGTCACGTGGTTTTGATCATGCGCAGTAGCATGTTTATCCGTAGCCGTAGTCCGTAGTCGGGGTATCTTAAACTCCCTAATATAATTCCAGCTGTTTAAGAGTGCATCCACGGTAGGACCAGGCAGGGGCGGCACAAGCCATCTAACCGATTTCGATGAAACTTGGCCAGTTTGAAGGGGTCTACCCAAAACTACTTCACTCTAAGTTTAAGGAAATTTGGTCGAAACCGGGGGGAGTTGACCACCCCCCTTGTTTTTTAAAAAAAATGACCAAAAAACACCTAAAAATTGGTCAAAAGTATTAAAGCTCTACTGCTAAAAGAATTCCACCAAATCTTTTCATATTTTCAGTGAATGTTATCCTACCCAAAGACAATTTATTGTAACTGTTTCGTTCTTCTAAGACAAGTTCCTATGACACAAGTCATCTCAGCCAAGACCCCCCCTCTCACCCAATAGTGAAAATTGTTGAAATATCCAAAGTTTAGGCCAAAACATCTCCAATGCCGGAGCATGCTTAAAAAAACGGAGCATACCGTCTAGAAGGCGGGACTTCATACTAACATTATCTGCAAAAAAATCTTTGGGCACTCATTTAATTATTCCACAGGAAGACTGCAAACACGTCGTCCACCACAGGGTACTAGCGTCAATTTTGTTTTCATTATAACGCGCTAATTCGGTAATTATCGCACAGCAACGGACAGACAATGCCACAAAATGATTACACGCCATACACTTTAATGAAATAGAACCATTTCTATCTAATTGCCTAAATAAAAAAGGGCCCACCACAGGGTACCCACGTCAACCTTTTTTTTTTCTTTCATTATATCGCGCTAATTCGGTAATGATAGCGTAGCAACAGACAGGAAATGCCTCAAAATGGTTACACACTATAAGCTTTAATGAAATTGAACCAATCCAAAAGCTTTAGTTTGTATTAAGCCATGAAAATAAGAATCGGCGGCCTTATGATGACCTCTACTATTGTATAAGTGAACTTCGTGACGAAATTTACTCTTCTCTAAGTCAAGCACCTGAGTCACAGAACACTATCAAAATTACATTGTCTGTATTTGAACTTTAGAATGATTGTATAATAAAATTTGCTTTTGTTCGTCTAGTAAAGGAATAGTACAATTGCTTGAAACTTGCACGCCACATTGCATCTTGATACAGAAAACGTTATACAAAAGAATTCCCTTTTCTGAAAATAAATTGATTTGCTTGCGACTCAAGTCGGTTGCCTAATACGCCTGAAAAGGAGAAAAAAAGGAGAAAAGCGTTTGGCTTTTTACAGCTAAACGCTTCTTTTTTTCTAATCCCTGGAAATTACTTCCTGGCAAGCGCATACATCTTTGTAATTTGACAGCTTGATTCGATTTTCCATAATAACTACAAACAGAACAAACTTTCGCTTTAAAAATACAATTGACGCGAACGAAGAGAGTTATTTTGTTTTCTTCTTTAAAAACGGAGTTTTTACATGTATAAAGGTTACGTTTGGCGATCGTAAATGTTGAATTTGGGCTTAGGATATGTAATAGACCTAACAGCCCAGTGTTGAGATTCACACGCTTTCTATAAATAGACCGTTGATTGGAAAAAGCGTGCACGCCCATGGATATTTCAAAGTGTTCCTCACATGCGTAGCCTCCCACGCAGGCGTTTTTAGGGGAGCTCGTATTTCTTCCCTCCCCACAAACGCCTGCTCAACGGAAAACAACATTCCTTTCCCAAGCTTAGCCAATCACATTGTACTTTCCAAATTCTGGAAAGTTGACCTTGACCGCAAGGTAATCTGATAATTACTCGATCTGCATTAAACACTGGGAAAGCTTTCTGACCTGCAATAAATGTTAGATTCAGAGCGGCAAAAATAAGTTTTAGTCAAAATTCAGAATACTCGGTGCACTGCATAACCTTAGCGAAGGAAAGAAAACAAGGAAAACGGTAACTCTAAGGTCACGTTCAGTCGTGTTTAGCCTGTCAACACTTCATTGCACAATTGTTGATTGGTCACCTACCACGCAATTAAAACAATGAGAAAGGAATGTTGTTTTCCGTTGAGCAGGCGTTTGTGGGGAGGGAAGAAATACGAGCTCCCCTAAAACGCCTGCGTTGGAGGCTATCACATGCGCCGATCGGTTAGAGGTATAGGATGTAGAGGTGAAAAGGTCTCTCGTTAAAAACGATGTCGCAGTTCTCGTGCTCTTTTGCCGTGCACTGTACCAGTGAGTGTGACGTATCAACTAGATACCCCGATCGTACACAGTTTTTTCCTTTGAATTCTTGCGTCAGTGATGTAAAGGCGCACTTGAAAGAATTTGCAAACAACAAAATCATGTGTAGCCTCTGAGAGAGAGCTGATACTTGCTCGTGTCAGTTTGTTTGACGAGGAGGGTAAGGATATGGTTATTTGCCCAAAGCATCGCGTTTTACTTGGAGTAAAGTATTGTCCTTCAAGAAAATGCCAGCATCCGCTTCATGGTCGCCGTAAGGGTAAAGTATCCAGAGGGGTGAACTTGAAAATGTCGAAAGAGATAAAGGAAACGTGGGACGTTTTGGTTCCCGTAGGCTCAGGTATGCATGATCACTGAAGGTAAATACGGTACTTATACATGCTTTGATTTCTTGATGATTTCGCCTCATGTAAGGGAATCAAGACAGGATACCAATCACTGTATTCCAGTATTTGTCAGTGGAACTTGGGTTCTTTTTCAATCATTAGTGGGATTCCGGATTCCACTAGCAAAATTTTCTAGGATTCCGGAATCCGGATTCCCTTACATGGGGCAAATGATTGACTAAAACACAAGTTTAGTCAATTGTTTTATTAATATATACACAAGTGGGAAAGGATTTTTTTTTTTTTTTGTGGCGGGGGTGGAGGGAAGGATGGAAGATCTTGTAAGAAATTAATTATGAGTTATAGGGTATGATATTTATTTCGCAAAAGAATAACAAACAAACAAACAAATAAGCGATTGTGTGGTGAATTTTGATCTACAAGAGTTTTAATCTATTTTGAAATTTACCAGGTCAATTTCCTCTTCCGTTGTTTTCCTTTTTGTATCTTAGCTAGTTACGTTCTAACGGTAGCCCATAGTTATAGGTTCCTGCTTCTAATCGGTCATTTTTCCCCAGGAGGGGCGGGGGATAGGGCAATTCTCTCAAAAGCTACAGTGACTATACAGATTTTTTTTTTTTTTTTGCGAAACCTCAAGGCCAGGCCTTTTAATATAGAGCCCGGTGTCAATTAAGAATAGGGACCTTAAGATACGAGGACGGGACAAGCTACGACGGCTACCGGAAGTAAATTTGCACAACGAGGCATGCGCACACGAAGTCCAAACTCGTGTTCTTGCCGTCCTGGTCTCGCCGAGGACGCCATTCAGCCTGTTTTGCCGTCGTCTGGAAAACGTGAGTATTCGCGGCTTGTTTTCACCTACAATAAGGCGATATCGATTCCCTTTTCAGATATTCTGACCCTGGTGTTTCTTAAGATCATATTCTTCACGATTTCTGTCGGAAATATTTCGAAATGAGAAAAAAAGGCCATAATTTATGTTCATCATTGTTTGTTTGTTTTGCAGTCGCGACCATGAATGTTCCTGAGTGCCCAGTGAAGAAAAGTAAATCAGTGTAAGTGAAGTTAAATTAAATAGATCCAGTTACAGTGGAGTAACAATCGAGTAGAAAAAGGTTCAGTGAAGGTTTCTTTGACTTGTACCTCCTGACAGTCCGGCGGTGTTTACCTTTTGCTCATTTGAAAAGCAATTTCATTTTTTAACTAAAGATTTATACGCCTGAATTGGATTCTAATATTTTTAGGAAGCCAGTGGTGTGGAGTTCTTTTCACGATGAAATGTGCCGGGAAATCATGGTTGTTGATCCCTTCACTGGAACAAAAAAGAGCCCTGTAGCGAGAGGAAAGAAAAGGGAAGAGGTCGCTGAAAACTTGAACCAAATTGAAGCTGTTTATTTCACAGTTGACAAAAGGGCAGTTCGAGATCGCTACAACCTTCTCGCGTGGCTAAAGAACTGAGGAGCAAACTGAAAAAAGAGAAAAAAAAAAACAGGTGGAATTGAAACCGGCATGAGCAGCATTGAAGTGGCACTAGAGGAGTTTAGTGTGTTGTTTCTGTATTCTTGTATTTTGATGTCATTATTGCAAGTAAAAATAAAAAAAATTCATCTGGAGATTTTGGCTTCTTCAAGAAGCTCTCATCGCATAGTAGAATAAATTCATCGTCGTCTATCACAACGTCTAAGTAGCTTTTTAGAAGAAAGGTCCTAGCGTCTTTAAAGGTCGATGTGAAAGAAATATCGCCGTTGCCGTCCCAAGAGAAAATTGTTTGCTCTTAAGTATTTTTTTTTGGGCGGGCACGACGGGGCTCGACCTAGTCTTCCTCATCCACCCCCGTCGCCGTCCTGGCTCCCCGTCCTCGTATCTTAAGGTCCCTAATGAGTGTTCTAGAACGGGGCGTGAAAATGAGCGCCTCACTGAAAAATTATCAGATTTTTGTTTAAAATCGGCACTGGAACTGCCGCTAATTATACATTTAGTGGTGGCCTACGCTGGCCTACCACATCGCACGGACTTCTAGTATTATCTACAGCACTAATCACTAATACTTCCAACAGGGTCAAATTTACAACCCCAATTTCAGAAGAAGAGGTTTCTGTTTCCACAGATATATGTTTTTTTTAAAGACGGGGCCCTCTGGGGCCCTCTTTTGACTAGGAATGGCGGCACAAACCTATTTAGAATCTAGCTTGGCAAAGTCCCTCCCTCTAGGAAATATTAGAATGCCTTAATGGATGCAGGCAAGCCGTTTATTGCTTGGGAAAAGTTCCAAACAGTTTGTTCTATCCAGCCTGTTACCACAAACTAACAAACCATAATGCTACCAGAACTCATTTTAGGTTTATTCTTGTACGCAGGGGTTTGTAGACAATGCCGTGGTGACCATCTAAGAACTGTAGGTTCTACTGACGCGGATTCCGAAGTACAAGATCCCGGACTGGCTTCCACGTCTCACCCAGAGCCTCAGATTCACGAACCTTCATGTTCTGCGGAGTCCGCAGAGGAAATAGTAGAGCCACCACAGTTACTACCGCCTGCTACAGAAGAATCGGAACAATTGTCTGCTGCCCCTGTCCTTCACGTAAGATTCCAAGAAGATCTCATTAGTGAGGTAAGTTCTTCTTCGGCAATGTGTGAATGAGTTTACTGATTTCAAAGGGGCGGGACGTTTGCGTCACTTGCTTTGTAATTGTTGTCATAAACCACTGATCTTTAGAACAAATCAGGAAAGGAGGGAGAGGGGTCGTTGTTGCTTGATGTATTGGGCATAATGTTGGTTCTCACACTAATTTGCATAGACTTTGAATAAAATCGGAATTCGTTAAAATTGGTTGTTATACTGAGAGTCACTGTATGGTTGAGTCATAAAATTGTCTCCTCTCAAAGAATGCCTGTCTTCGAGTATGCTTTGCGATCGTGGTTTGGAATGTTGCTCACTCTTATTTATCGAACTTCATTTGAAGCATATAGCGCGAAATTTAACAAAATATAATCATCAATAACTCGTAACAATTACTATTCAAAGCTCATTCTACTCCTGTTATTAATCTTAGAGAAGTTTGAGCAAATTCATATAGGGTTCATAAACAAAGCCAACGGGCGCAAAGCATACCGGCCAACAGGAATTCTTTAATGTAAAACTTGTGCACCCTGACTATACGGTAATAATGCCAAACTGATGGAATAATTAGATATTTCCTAGATACAGCTTTTTTCTTTTCCAGCATAGCGATCGCGACTCAGACCCCAGCGACCGCCATTCAGAGGCTTTGTCGCGGACGTCGTCTGGATCCCAGGAGTCTCTTGGCGCAGCAGAAACGTTGGCAGAATGGCAGCCCACCCCTCAAATACAGCACCGCCTTTACTACCTTAATAATTTCCTCAGAATGGCTACTGAAGGCAGGGTCAGCCCGGTGAGGTCACAGTGCCAATGTGACGTTCTTACTATGACATCCAGAACCCAGCGCTACTACCGGAAAAAAGCGGAGCAGGCTATCGAAGGCGTGCTTGAATCCATTGCCCCTGGCAACGCCTCCTGGCTCTACCACCAAGTCATGCAACGGCGGATTCGTTTACAAGCGGCCGAGGGTACAGTCGAATACACGATGGTTGCCAGACTGGTGATTCTGTATGAGGAAGCCGCCTATTGGTACACGAGACAGCAGATCCTGTCGCTTTTCGTGAACGACTACTGGAAGAGCGAGCTATTGGCTTTGATTCCGGGTCTCTCAAAATGGAGAATCGACAAGGCAAGGAAGCACGCTTTCCAGACTAAGCCCGGGCAACCCATTGACCCACCAAGGATCATCAGATGCCGTTTGGATGCTGTGAAAGTTGACCACTTTCTTGACTTCTTGTCCAGTCCATCAGTTCTTCAAGATGTGGCATATGGCACCTGAACTCTTAAACTGGAGAGCGGAGAGAGCTTAGAAATCCCGAACATGGTGCGCACAGTTATATCCTCCCACCTAGTGCGCATGTACCTGAACTTTTGTGTAGAGTCCAATTTTGAGCCTCTCGGACGCTCCACGCTCTTCAATATAATCAAGGTACGGATTATAAAACGTTCGTAAAGGACGAATTTTGATCAGGGTTAATTGTAGTTGTAGTAGTGGTGTAGTAGTAGTAATGGTTTGCATTTAGAAATTAGTTTGAAACCAAAGCATTTTTGTTTCTCTTCAGGTTTGTGGGGCTTCACTAAAGAAATCGTTAGCCAGTCTTGATAGCCCTCAGACAGATGGGGTACAGGCTATCGCCACTCTTGAAGACATCACTCATCAACTCAAACAAGCCGGTGAGATACAAACACCTTCCATTATTACTGTAGGTGCACGAGTTGTCACAACTTTTAATAAGCTGACGGAGTATCAATATTTATTATTGTGTGTATTTTTTCTATCACAGGACTGGATAGAACAATGGCCGATAACATTCTAATGCGACTCAAAGCAGGTCGGCAGTATCTGAAGACGGATTTCAAGATCCACACAGCCAGCGAATCCCCGTGCGCAGATCACTGCAGAGTGTTCGCCCTCAGTAGGACAGAGAAAGAGTACAACGGTCAGTGCCAACATCAGCATACCATCACCTGTGACCGGTGCGAAGACCTAAAGAATGCTGTCTCAGATCTGCAACTAGCGTTGGATTCAGGTGAAGTACATCTAAGGTAAGAACATCTTTGTGACAGAAAAGCAGAGTTTAGCATTTATTGTCAACTAACAACCTAATCCCCAGGGCGCTTTATATGAGTTTAGAAATTTTATATTGCTTTGGGTGGTTCTAAACCTAATGAACATATGTTTTAAATGAAACGCAATTTACGAAAAAAGTGAGAGAGGCATTATTACTTTTTTATAAAACGGCTCCAAAGAAAAATTTCTGACGCTATCGCGCCGTGATGTTGACAAGCTCTACTCTTTCCCTTTTTAGTCCTGATAAACGAGAGGAGTTAAAGCATGATTTGAGCTGCGCTGCGCCGAGCATAGAAGATTGGAAGTCGCACGTTCTCCGTTCAGTTCACCAGGATGCGGCCAAGAGCCTGAAACCATCACAGTTGCTGCTAATAATGGACTGGGCGATGAAGTTTATTCCCACCAGCTTTCGTGAAAAGCAGCGCGACTCGTTTGGAAAGAAGGGGAAGTCCTGGCATCTCTCGGTGGCCATCACTAAAGCAGAAGATGGAACAATTGAGGTAGAAATCATGTTCCTTCTCTTCTGTCTTTATCGCTCACTGACCACTATAAACTAGTTTCTCGTGAGCGCGGTCTTTGTTGCGCTACCCGATTGCAAAATTGGATAACTGATAAGAATTCCAGGCCGAGAAAAGACGCGAAAGCTTAAATTCCTAATAGTGAATTTCAACATTTCATTGCTTTCGGCTCTTATATAAAGATAAAACGTTGGCGACGCACGTAAGCGCGCGCAAAAGCTCATGGGACGGAATACATTTTTAATCCAAATAAAAGTCCATAAACATTCTCGAAAAAAGCAGACCTTCCGGGGTGTTATCTCTGTTTCAAGTCAAAATGCGCAGGTTAATACTCCATTAGCCCTTGACTGTGACCAAGTCCCTTGGCGCACTATTCATGGTAAAAAATGCTTTACTATTATGATTTTCAGACACTTACATATATCCACTTATTTGATGAATGCAATCAAAACTGGTTCAGCGTTGCCTCCATCATCGAAGATTCACTAACCACCATGAAGCGACAGAAATCTAGACTGAATGAAGCTTTCCTGAGATCTTGCAACGCAGGCTGTCATCACTGCGCATTTCTTCTTCTCAGTCTTCCAAGCCTTGGGCAGCGAGTTGGTGTCCGCATTGCTCGTTATGACTTCAGTGAGGCCCAAGCTGGGAAAGACGTATGTGACCGCCGAGCCGCCGCCTTGAAGAGCCACATTAGGCGCTACATTAATGAAGGCAATGACGTCAAGACAGCAAGTGACATGAAAGCTGCTATTGACTCGCATGGGGGCGTCAAAGGCCGCTACTCAGTGGTGTGCAAGGTTGACGAAAGGTCCCAAAACAATGTCGGACCCGGAAAGGTCTTTTCCGCGTCGTCGCTAGCGCGTCTCGGTAACCCTCAAGGCCCGACAAACTTACAAGTTCTCCAGGCATTCAATAGTCCTGACATACTGACTGGTGTCTTCCGTGCATCTTCCAGCACGCAAGAACAGCAGCCCGCAGCACCTCCAACGGACCCTATAGCCGTAGAACGGATTCAGCTTGAAGAAGAAGAGCGTGTGGCCTTTGGCTGCCCAGAGGAGGGTTGCATACAAGTTTACCAAAGTCACAGCAGCCTTCAGCGTCACGTTGATGCCCGGAAACACCTTCTCGCGTTAGAGAGAGAGTCCACGTACGACGTGATAAAGAAAAAGTGGGCAGAGACCTGCAAGTCAATTTCTGGTGGCTACGTGGGAACAGCTCAGCCGCCCACATCTGCATCCGCCTCAGTTTCCCATAGCCAGTAGGAAGACCCGCTGCCAACAGCTGACATGGGCTGGGCATTAAAAAAGACCAAGAAGTCCGTTCATTTCACCACTAAAGTGCGCCAATTTTTGCGTGAAGTCTTCCTTCAAGGAGAGGACATAGGGAATAAAGCAGCAGCTGAGGATGTTGCCGCACGAATGAGGTCCGTGCGAACCGCTGAGGGAACGAAGGTATTTACCAAAGACAAGTGGCTGACATCTACCCATATCTCCGGACATTTCAGAAGAATGGCGTCATTAAACAGGAGTGGGGGTCTTCATAGAAGAGAGGAGGCGAGGCCAGCGCCAACAGAACCGGTACCCGAGGGAGCAGAAAGCGAAGATGAGGAGAAAGACCCATATGTGGCTGAAGTTCCCATTATCAGATCACGGCTTCAAATCAGGAGGGAGCTAGAACTGTAACTTTACTTTCGATAAGAGTGTTTGTCTGTTTGATTATATCTATTTTGACTTTTGTCTTTGATAGTTCTTACAAAGGAAAGTTCTTTAGGGCACAAGTCACAAAAACACGCAGTTGATTTTGTTTTCAGTATAGCGAGGTCTTTCTGATAAAGTTTTCTGCATCAAGATACAATGTGGCGTGCAATTTTCAAGCAAATGTATTATTCCTTTATTAGATAAACAAAAGTCAGTTTCATTATACGATCATTCTAACGTTCAAATACAGACAATGTAAGCATTTTGATAGGGTTCTGTGACTCTCGTGTTTGACTTAAAGCGATGAGTAAGTTCCGTCACGAAGTTCACTTATACAATAATAGAGGTCATCATTAAGCCGTCGATTGTCATTTTCATGGCTTAAGACAAACAAGAGCTTTTCAAATGGTTCAATTTCATTAAAGTTTATAGTGTGTAACCATTTTGCTGCATTTTATACCTGCTGCTATGTCTTTATTACCGAATTAGCGAGTTATGATGAAAAAAAAAATGACGTGGGTATCCTGTGGTGGGCCAAGTTTTTTTATTCTAGCGATTAGATAGAAATGGTTCTATTTCATCAAAGTGTATGGTGTGCAACCATTTTGTGGCATTATTTGTCTGTTGCTGTGCCATAATTACCGAATTAGCGCGTTAAAATGGAAAAAAATTGACGCGGGTACCCTGTGGTGGACGACGTGTTTGCAGTCTTCCTGTTGAATAATTAAATGAGTGCCCAAAGATTTTTTTGCAGATAATGTTAGTATGAAGTCCCGCCTTCTAGACGGTATGCTCCGTTTTTTGAAGCATGCTCCGGCATTGGAGATGTTTTGGCCTAAACTTTGGATATTTCAATAATTTTCACTATTGGGTGAGAGGGGGGGTCTTGGCTGAGATGACTTGTGTCATAGGAACTTGTCGTAGAAGAACGAAACAGTTACAATAAATTGTCTTTGGGTAGGATAACATTCACTGAAAATACGAAAAGATTTGGTGGAACTCTTTTAGCAGTAGAGCTTTATACTTTTGACCAATTTTTAGGTGTTTTTTGGTCATTTTTTAAAAAAAAACAAGGGGGGTGGTCAACTCCCCCCGGTTTCGACCAAATTTCCTTAAACTTAGAGTGAAGTAGTTTTGGGTAGACCCCTTCAAACTGGCCAAGTTTCATCGAAATCGGTTAGATGGCTTGTGCCGCCCCTGCCTGGTCCTTTCGTGGTAGCATAACAGTGGGGTTCGTTTTTCTTACACACAAATCCGTAGTACGTTTCTATGAATTTTAAATTCGCGCGAAACGTGTGGGCGAAAAAACAAGTTTACGCATTGCTACTCGCTAGTTTTTATACTCAAATTCAAAGCAATGATATCAAAATGTGTAACTTTATTACTACTCTATGAAATTGACAATGGAAATGTTTGACTGGTGAGGGGTTATCGATTGATATTGCATATTTGATAACAATCTATTATGTTAATTGATAGATTCCCATCGATTGATATTAATAATCGATGATAATGAATGATCACAAAAATTTTCGTCATCGATCGTCCTTCGATTATCAATATCAATCGAGTAATTGATATCGATTGTCATCGATTGCCAGCCATCGATTATCGATTGATATTGATAATCGATAATAATCGATAATCACAAAAATTTTTGTGATCGATTGTCCATCGATTATCAATATCAATCGATTAATTGATATCGATTGTCATCGATTGTTATCGATTGCCATCGATTATCGATTTCATCGATTGTTCAGGTCCTGTAAAAATATAGCGCAAACAAAAATTCAGCAACATATTGTCGTAGTCAACAAAATAAATCAGTCTTATTTAAGAAACGACCTACAAAACTTTAGACCAAAGGTAAAGACCAGGACTGTTTCAATTTACTTTACTAGACTTGTCTCTCGCTACTGATCTTTGTAATTTAGATGGCATGCTGACAGGACAAGATGCCTCCGCGTTGAAGCGAAACACACATTGATTGTGCAAATTTGTTCGATCGTGCTGAATCACTGCGACGTCGAGAAAAACAGAACCAAGTATTATTGGTATTCTGCTCCATTGTAAGCAGTGCGTGAATAACAAGGGAAAATAAACTCTGCTATTTTCCAAAATATGTTCAAACACAAACAGTTCATAAACATGACCACCACAGAATCTAACTCGTACTGGTCCGTTGCTATCTAAGTCCGTTGAGAACAAGCTGGACGAGTAAACGGTCGTTTTTTATCGTTGTCGTGAATGAACATAAATAAAAGAAGGAATCTAGCCGAAATGTATAACATTTCCTTCGCCAGAAGATTAGTTTCGTCTCAAAACTCATGGCCACGCTGTAGTAATCGTTTAATAGAAACATCCGCCTGGAAGCGCCTCGATAGCCGCTTCATGTCAACATACTTTGAACACACACACACAAAAAAAAATTCAAGAGCCAGCAGCCTCTAAAATGACTCAACAGAAGGTTTCTGTGAACTATAAGGAAGATTCCATTTAAGATTCCATCACTCATCGTGGAGTAGCCGTCGTTAATTCTCTGCTAATTCAACGGCCTCTGGTAAGACAATCGTAAGAGGATATTGTAAATCCACGCACAAAAAATCCAAGGACGAAAAATTTCAAAATAATGCAAAAATATTCTTCTGTAATCACCATAGAACGATTCTTAGTTCAAAACTTCGCTAACTATCGAACGATGGCTGAGATTTCAACAGCTAAAAACAGCCTTCCGACATCTCCGACAGAACTTGAAAAAGATGGGCCGTCTTTTTCAAGTTTGTTTTCACTGGCTAGCGCATGCGCCACGGGTGACATAGCCCCTTTAAAAACTACAAAGAAAGAAAGACTGACAATAATGTTATTAAACAGATAAAAGAAAAATAGTAGAAACTCTACATCAAGATTTGGCTGTCAACCCAAACTGGTAACGATTTCATTGGTAGATCAGTAGCTCCGCCGTGGTAAAGGAATAAACTATATCCGATACAACGCCTAGATATTTAAAAGCATTCGTGCTCTTAATAGATTGACCATGGACATTTGGATCGAAAGTGTTACTGTTCTGCGAGGAAAGACCCTGCCGCCTACCGAAAACCATTCATTTAGTCTTCTTTACGTTGCGTATAAGCTTTATAAGTTCAAGCTACTTTGAGAGAATAACTAGTTCCAAATTCAACGTCAACTTAAGTTTGGACATATTTTTTTGGAGTAAAGTAGATCACTTTGTCGTCAGCATACATCATTGTAGACCCCATTGCACTGGAGAACTGAAGTAGAACGCAAGATAGTGAATCATCAATGTATAGTGTAAATAATACCAGCCCCACTCCCCTGAAACACGCCACTTTGAATGGTTATGGGATTTGATAATGCCTTTCCATACTGACTGCCTGGGTTCTATTGAAGACAAGATAAAGGTGTCAAGGCCAACGGCTCAACGTTGCCGCCCAATAAATAGACTATTTTACAAAGTGTAAGTGATACATGATCTTAAAACAGGGTTTTTGAAAGTCCCTGGTTGTGGTCTGGCTGGGAATTGTATCCGAGACTCCCGCTCATTCAAAAGCCTGGGGTCAATTAACTGGATAGACTGCGTACCAATCATTTCCGTTTCCTTTTTCCCAAGCAAGAAAGGCACGGAAGACGCACTGCCAGTGCGTGAGGTGAAAGGAGCACTGGTGGCTCTTCCCCACTTCCCTCGCTTGGTGCGGCATGGCGCATAATGAAAACGAAAACGACTGCTAGGCGGGCTACTAACCGAGCGGCGGCTACCTCAGTTAACTAGATTATATAACGAGTTGGAATCTCGATATTTCGAAATTTCTGGGGAAGTTGAATTTTGGCTTGAATAATCCAGAGGTTCTGAAACTCGGATGGAAGGTGTGAACAAACCGCAGTGGAGTGGAGAAACATGTTTACTAGTTACTTCGACGCTGCTGTCAGTAACTTGGCCAGAATTGTACAGACGGTATTCTTAGGTGTTTTCTTCATTATCAAGAGGCTCCTTTAAGAGAATTTCGCTTGTGTTAAAACCAACTATCTAAAGAGTAATTCATATGGATAATGAAACTCTTGTTTATAAATAAGGATTTCTCCCAGTGACTTCATTTAATATTTTTCTGGCTACCTTCTTGTTTTAAATTGTCTGTTTAAGGTATTCTTTACAGCTGGTCGCTAATTCTGTACGGAACAGAGAAGGATCCCTTATCAATTAAAGAACCCACATGTTCCAACGATTTCTATGAAGGTTAAACCTGCAACATATTCAAGCCACACTTTGCCTGCTACAACAACACAGCCATCTTCAAAAACTGGTAGGACAAACTTCTTGTCGTTTTCTATTCGATACTACAGTCAGGGGCACCCAACGGCAATTTTCGGGAAAATATCTGTTCGGAAGACGATTTGAGCTCTAGAATTTTCGGAGCATTTGTTGTAAAATTTCTTGCTTGCCTGCCTCTCCTAGGATTTTCGAACATCTACAAAATGGTATAATTACCCATTTTTAACGGATTTTGACCCTAAAAAAGGCCACCTAGAATTTTCGGGGGCCTTTTCCT